CACACACACACACACACACACACACAAACACACACACACTTCCCTACCCTCTCCTCCCACCTCCACGGCTGCGTCCCTCGCTCCCCTGCACAAGGTCGACCAGCTCATGCCCATTTGCAAACGTCGCGGAGCTGCCAGCCGCTTGTGTTTGCATGGTGCCTGGCTGCACTCTCCGCCCCCCAATCCCTCCCCACTGGCTCTAGGACAGGCAGGGAGGGGAGGGGGGTGAGAAGGGGGGGTGACCGACCGATTCCTAAGGGGCATTTTAAACCGGACAACTGGCCACAAACAGCGAGCATTCAAGTCACTCATTACGGGGCAGTAGACATGTCCGAGGGCGCGCATGCATGCGTCTCTTTCTCCCTGTGGTGCACTTCTCATCCAGAGGATAAAATGCAGGAAATAAAATAGGATCAAGCAGTTGGTAGTGGGTGGGGGGGGACCAAAGATACGCTGTGGATTTTGAAAGGGCAATTTACGCATATTCTGCGGCCCTGTTTAGCTCATGTGCGGATGATGTGCCTGCGATCCTGTGCCTAAATGCCATGCACAGACAGGCCGTGTGTGAGGGCCCGCATTCAAACAGCGTAGGCTTCTTGTTACATAACACCACGGCCTGTGTGACAACCATAGCGGGGACCATAAAACCATTCCGCCGCGTCCCGTATCTCAACTTAGGACACAACACGCCTCTGTCAGCGATTTATTCTCTTTTTGTCGTCCCCCCTCCTCCTTCTCCTCTTCTGTCCTTCAGTCTGCAGCAAAGCAATAGCTCACAGGATTAGTGCACTGACAAACACGAGTCTTGGGTAAATAAACAGATTAGCATTATATTTATATTATTGCTGCTGCACATTCCTCAGCATCAGTCAGTGCAAGGAAAGCGAGCGATCGCCTACAAAAAAAAAGAAAAGAAAAGAAAGAAATCCACCGCATTCGAAAGGCAATTAGAGCATAAAGAGAGGTGTTTGAGTTTAAAGTTATGTCATTAAAAAGATCCGAATCATTATGAGCGCCTCATGCGAGATGCAAGCCAGCCCGTCAGCGCTGTCAGCTGTGCTCGGAAACACAGGCGCACGGTGATGCGGCTCATCCTTTCCCCACTGCTACACAGATATGTTGTTTTTGGTCGCCAGTGGAAAACATGTACTGGCCGCGTATCCTCTGCCACCACCGCCGCCACACCGCCGCCGATGTGAAGCAGAGGCCTCGCAGCAACTGTCGCCAGCCATGTCATTCACTTCAGCACAAATGGAGTACTGACAGCGAGGTGGCACGGGCGTCTGCGGCGCAGCGCAACAGCGCCCGAGACGTTTGTGTGACAGGAGAACATATTTTATATATGTCGGCCTGCGGTGTGCAGCAGCAGCAGCAGTTTTTTTTTAAAAGGACGGACTCACCGAGATCATCTTTTTCTATCCGCCGACAGGAGCGCAGCACACGATCCGATTCGGCGCGGTGGTTGTCGGTGGTGGCGCCCAGGGTGGAGGACCATTTGTAGCCTAGCGGTCCAAGGATGGTCCGGTTAAATTGGTCACCCTGTGGTGGATCTCCTCCTGTCGTCTTCTCGCTCCACTCCCTTGCCTCTCCTCCCCCTGACCCTCTCGGCTCCCAGCACCACTGTCAAGACAGGGGGAGTACAAACATCACACTTCCGTATACGGTTTTCAAACTCAAATGCTGCTGCCGCTGCAGAAGAATCCTAAACGTATTTGACAGAAGGAACATATAAACTACACATCTTACAATTCAGAGATTTAGTTGATCTTAACACAGCACGGGTTATGTACGAAGCACAAAACGATCTGCTGGCAAACTGCGTTCCTAGGCTGATGTTTAAAGAGGCAGAGGTCAGTCAGGACCAATGTTTACGTCTGTCAAAAAGGGCGCAAACTTGTGGGGCTGCACGAGAAAGACTGTTTAGAACCTTTATTATTTTCTTTGCTCTTTTTTTTGCAAAATATAGTTATAAAATGTATGTAAATTATTGTTGTTTTATTTTCCCATGGATATTTTCTGTGATTATAATTGTTTTTAAACTCTTAATGACTGATTTATTTTGTATTTAGCATTAATATAAAAAACCGCTAGAATGTAAGTAAAAGTATGAAGTTGAAATCCCAGCAGAGGATTGGAAATCAGCCAGTGCTGTCACTCATACTCACACTGTGCATGCTTCTGATAAACAAACATTCAGTAGTTATCGAAGTGTTAGAGGCTCAGATGATCAGTGGAAAAGTACGAAGTGAAACCAAACTGATTGAAAATTATCTTTAAGGGTGAGAAACAAGCAGCATTTTGCTGATGCTTTATTTACCTGTAAATTCACTTGCACCCCTGAGGCCCTGAATGTTTTTGGTTTCTATAGGGTGACATCATAGAAAATGTTTTAGAACCACTGTTATATTTGGTGAATATAATGTATGTGACTCTTGCCAAGTTAAATCATTATAATTACAACTATTCCTTATACTTTGTAATATACAGCATTATTTCATTTTGTTCAGTCTGTTACTGTTACTGTCTTGGAACAACTGTAACCACATGATTTCCTTAGAGATTATTAAAGCTTTCTGATTCTGATAGAAAACTTTTAACATTATTGGTGTGTTGTTTTTTTAAAATATAGTTAAACCATCCAAATATCTTAAATTTACAAAGTCTGATCACATGATATAATAGGATTTCACCTGCATACTAGAAAAAAGCATTCATAATGAATTCTGTTTGAGTTCTATTATCGCATTGATGCAAGCCAGCTGTTAAACAATTTGACCCCTAATTAAAATACAGGACTAATGTGATTCTTTGCAGGTTTTAGCCCGGTTTCAGAAGCAGAATCGGAATCCATTCTTTTAGTATTAAACTTCTTCTGTGCAGTAAAGTTCAAAGACCCATGATGGGTTTTTTAATCAAAACTATATTGCAAATAAAAACATAAGGGGCTCTAGACAAACATGAAGGTCTGTGTTTGTAAAAAAATAAGCAATAGCTTTGAAGCACAGTTTACCTCAGTGTTACATATAGTACGCATGTAAGGATTTCTGTGGATGAGAACAACAGGCTTTCTTTTACAAACTAAAACAAGTTTTAGCAGCAAGTTAAACAATATTTTTGCAACACCCAGTTTTCTAATGATTAAGTTGATGAATAACTAAAAGAACTACATTCATTTATATAAATATTTAATGCATAGCTTCTTATCTGGGTGTTCATTTAATCTAGTGATCCAGTAATAAAAAAAGAAAAGAAAAAAAAAGACCTTGACAGCAGCTAAAAGAAAATTGACTAAAATGAGTATGAAGGTTTGTTCTTCACGCCTATCTTGTTTTATTCCATTAAATCTCAACTATTGCATCAGCTTATTCACTTCTTGTGGTCCTCGCACGTTCCAATTGTGGCGTTTTCGGCTTTTATTTTGACATGAAAATCCTCTAATTTCCGGCGTAATGCTGTCTAACTTTGGCTGCTTGGCGCAGCTCCGCTCCGCCGAGGCGCGCCGCTGCTGCTCACACCACTCTCATTCCCGCTTTCAATCGGCACGCCCTCTAGAGGTGAAGTCTGCAGCAAGCCGGGCAGGTCAAACACCTGCTGTGATCTGTGAGAGAGTAAAGAATTAACCAGTGTAGTAATTGTATTTATTATCTTTTAATTTATGGAGACAGACATACAGCGAAAAGGGATCTCTGCAATCCCTTCTGTGTGCTCACATTGCAAGGATTTCGAAACATCTCTTCAGGACTTAACTGTCTGAATTTTTATATAGAAAATGTGATTGTTCTTCTGTTTCAGAGCCATAAGCTATAAGACCTACACAACATGACAACCTTTAAAGTTTACCCAAAATGTATTTATTGAGGTATTTATTTCAAGTGAAATATGAGAAAACAGATCAAACATCCTGGGTGCCAATGCTTGTTTCTTTTACTCTTTGTTAGACCAATGGCTTTACATTGAAAAGTCGGACTAGTTCCAGCTTTTAACAGAGCTTAAATGTATTTTTCAGCTGTAAAAATGTAACATGCCTATCACCTGCGTTACAAAGTTATAAGAGCTCAAACATGCTGGAAAAATGTTAAAGTTAAAAAAAGAACAAAATGTAGATGCTCCATGTACCCCAGGGCCTGTTACTCTGAAAATATGTATAGCTAGTAAAAAAAGACTCATTACAGATTTGCATAGCTTCATTAAATATGGCAAAGTTCTAAAAGTACCAAACAAATACAGCTAAATGTGAGAGGGTCAGGTCAGAGACATCCACAGATTTTTTGTGTAATGACTCAAAACCAATGGTTTGGTTTCAGAATGGGGGACCCCCCCCCCCCCAAAAAAAAGCCTCTTAGATGATTAAAAGAACAAAAACCAAAAACCTTAACAGTATGTTATTTCATGATTTTACACATGGTAAATAGCATATTTCTTTATGTAATTAAGCTATAAGACCTGTAGCAGCTCTATTCACATTATAATTGTATGGCAAGCTCAATTTATTATTACTACACACAAGCCTCATTTATGCTTGATATGTAAAGATCTGAAAGATTGTGAGGAAGAGATATTTTCTTCTTCGTCTTTGTAATCCACAACAAAGACGAAGGAGTTAAACTTTTTTTGAATAACTTATTCTTATTTTAAAACGGAACATTTATTTCGCTAGTGTATTTTGATTAATACTGAATTATTTACTCTTGCTTACATTTGTTGTGCTAATTAATATTTATTATATTGATTTACCCTAATTGGGTATATATGATGCATGTATGTATGATGCATTGACCTTTTTTTCTTAAAAAAAAAAAGATCACGCAAACATTTTTCTAATACTACAATTTTTTCTATATATATTTAAAACTCTCTTAGTTAAAATATTTTGTTCTTGTAACATATATTTCTTCTTGTTTTTAGAAATTAAACAGAGTAGTAGTTCTTGATGTGGCGCAGTTATATTGATTATTTTCTCTTTTTTTCCCCCAATTGTACTTTAATGAATAATTTATACAAAATTTTAAAAAAGTTATATAAAGAGTTATATATTTGGATTAGGTTTAGAGTTAAAGTTAAGGTTAGGATTGTCACCTATTCCGACTTACATGTGGACCTCAGAAGGTTGATGCCTTCTTTGGAAGAATACAACCTGCTAAACGCAGTACATAGATGCATTCAAAACAATATAGTTAGTTCTCTCACAGCTTTCTCTGTAAAAATCAAATGGAATCAGCTTTTAAACAATGTTTGTTCTGTATATAGTTTCCACTTGCTTCTGATTTAATTAAAAACAACCAAAATAATATAAGTTTACAGTAAAATCCAACAACTCTGTAATCACAGTCATTTCTTGGAGATGAACAGGGTTTGGTTTCTAAGCAGTGCCTCCTGATTTATCGTCAGTGCCTAAACTAAATCAGACAGGACACTACAGAGGTGTTTACAAAGGCTGACAACTCATAAAACTGAGCCTTAAACAAACAGAAATTAGCAGGTTACAGTGGACAAGCTTAAATTAACACTGGTATTTAAGCTGTAAACTTGAACTTGAGTGCCCAGAACACAGATGCACTTCACGCCACGTCCCACAACCATCTTTTAAAGTTATGCCAGTAACTGCGATATAATAGACATAATCTAATACGTTACTGTCCTAAAGAGACAACACATGAAACGAATGCTAGATAACAAAAATAAACGAACTCCAAATTTTTAAAAGATGTTAGTTAGGGTTTTTTTTGTGGTAAAATCGATTAGTTATAAAATCATCAGAGACTTGGTGGTACAACTTGTGTCCATGTCAGAATTTATTATGTTTAATATTGCACTTAAAATTTTTATCGCATGGAACATATTCCTGTCATTTTAACCAAATTAGCATAAACATATTGACACACTGAATTGTTATGTCAGCATAAAGAAAGTCGTAATCCTGGCCTCTTATAGCTCAAACTGGTCAATAAAAGCCATTCAAAGTTCACCTGTAGTTTTTAAAGTGCTTAAATAATTCAAGTCAAAGCTTGGTGTTGTTAAAGCTATGTTAGTGTTTAGATTTAGCTTTAGGATCTTTGGTTTTCTGAGTTTGAATAGCAAACTGCCAGCTGGTGTCACAGGATACACAGACAGCTGATTGTTGCTAAGTGGGGCTAACTAAACATCTTACCTACTAAAGGTCTTGTTCATATTTAGGTCCACATTTAACAACAGGAAGAGAAACTGGATCTGCATGCATGCATGCATCTTAAAAAAGCCATCGGGCAGACAAAACAGCTACAGGATGGTAACTAATTTGAATAAAATTTGACTATATCACAAATGAAAACACCATGGATGTGTCACTTTTTGGGTATTTATGACTTTACTGAATTTACAAAAAGGTTAAAAATTGCCTGTAACTCAACTAGCTATAGAGCTGTAATGGGCTTTTTACAGCTTATAGTCCTTGTCTTTTAACATCCTCAATGTGAAATGATAACAGCAAAGCAGACCAACTCTTGACATACTGTGGTCTTAAAAGCAGGCAAACTATTGGAAGCATAACTTACAGTCAACACACATGATTCAGTTGCTGGCCATATTGAGAAATAAAAGATTTAACCCAGGGGTATCAAACATATGACCCACAGACCTGAAAACTGACTAAAAAAAAAAAAAAGCCCAATCCAGCCAAACAGGATGACTTTGTAATGCAGACAAGGCGGGTGTGCATGGTTTCTGTAGTTTTCACTGTATTTACTCTAGGGAGCGTGGTGGAGAATGGAAAGGAAGTCATGAAGAATGGTGTCGTGCTATGAAAGTGGTTGTTTATCCAAGCCGGAGATTTGAATCACGATCACTTACATCACTTTCTTACTGACAAATTCATTTCCCATTTTCTGCTACACCACACCAAAGTAAGGTGGTTAAAATAAGGAGTGACTTGTAGTTACTGTAGAAACGTTTGTTTTGTTTTTGTAATGACAGCTGACTGACCAAATGTGGAAAAACTGACACATTTTGTTAAAACTAAACTTTTTTTTTTTTCTTAAGACAGGTCAGGCTATTCATCATCTACTGTGGTTCAGTTTTCAGAATATACATGTCCTTGTAAGGGTAAAATTTCAGTTTGTTTTCATTGGTTATGAAATTGTTGCTGCTGCAGTTCGCAGTTGAGAGGTCTCACTGCTGCAGTTTCTTTTTACACTTTATCTACGAATGCATTGGAAGTAATTTTACACTAAAGATTAAAAGGTGTAATGGCAAAAATCATACTTTGACACTCAGTCCAAGGGAAATAAATTTGTTATTTCAACTTTCAATTTTATGTTCCACCCTTTCCCATCTAAGACACCATAAAATATTGATTATCCTGGGATATCATAGCACTTAATTTCTCACTTATCCTTTCAATTTTATATTTTCACTTTTATTTCTTATTATGGTTGATAGGAAATGTGTAGTTTATGTGTAGTGTTAGCTTTAGGCAGAGTGTTTTCTCCCTAGAGGGAAAACTCTGGAGGTGTCTTGTTCATGGCCTGTACTGGGGGTAAAGGGCGAAAGAAAGAAGAATGTCAAAAATGGAAAACTGCAAATCACTACCAAGAAAAAAAAAAAAAGTTGTGCAGATTTTTGTAGAATATGAAAGTGGTGGAAAGTGATTCTCAAATTACTAAATTCTCTTATATACATGTTTCTCAATTATTTGAGTTGAACGAGAAATGTGCAGCTCAAAAAGCACTTCTGCATGGAAACCCTAAAGACTGCTCGACAAAACAGCAACATTAATAACAAATAACAGTAAATAACATTTTTAATTATTTTGGAGACAAAAGGTAGTGATGAGAGTGCTTGTTTCAACAAACAACCCACAGTGCAACCAAACCCAGCGTCATCAGGTGTTTCAGGTCTTTCAACATCAGACACCAGTACCCAGGCAACCTAGCCACGGGTGATCAGTCTCCAGCTTGTGTCTAGGTGGCTTAAGTCATCTGCAGATCTCCCCTTTTGGTCCACAGCCATCTTGATGTCTTCTCGGGTGCATTAATGATGTTCAGTCCCTTGATCCTGAGCAATTTCATGGGCTAGTACAGTGAGGTACAATGGGTCTTACATGCCTTGCTTCACCTGTAAGCTTCTTCTACTTGGCAAGAAGCCTCTTCCATCTGGTCTTCTCAGGGAATGGTCAATTCTAGCAGGACCACCAACTGCCTCAGTGAGTCTGATATTAGCACCATATCAGGTCTGAGGTTTGTCAAGGTTATGGTGTCTCCCCAGGTCAACTTTCTGCCAGTCCCAGGTTGCTGCAAGAAGACCCACTGCTGGGTCCATGTGCTGTCGTGACTTCTCTCTAGCATTGACAAAAGCAATAGAGCACTTTTGGTTTGCATTGTGTACACAGACCTTGCCGTTGCACACGAACCATACTGCTGGAGCAGGTTTCCACCACCCCTGCCCTGATCTATTACTTGCCCAACTGGCTGCTTCCCATCCCCTTTTTCATATTGAGGTCTTGAGGTACTGCCAAGACCTGCCTGACCTACTGAAACTACAGCCCAGGTCTTTTGTCTGATCAACAGAATACTATCCTATGACAAAAGTAACCCTCAGGTTTTTTGTCTTTTTTTTTTTGGTCAGTTAGAAATCTTACACTGAACACATCTCAGCATTAGTAATGTGCACTGTATTGTTGCACACAGACAGGCCTACTCTTTGTACTACAGATAATTTGACAGGATTTGTAACCTTATTAAATCAACCCGATCATGTGCAATTTCACCAATATGTCTTTTACTGTCATAACAAAGAGATACTATTATCTTAACTATCTAACCTAAAGACACACATCAGCGTCAATCTTGAGTGTGGTATAGAAGGTTTTAAAAGAAGAAAGCTGCAAAAGTGACCTAAATTTATGACAAAACTCTCATTACTAGACATTACTTGCACCACAGCGCTTCCTGGTGCAAATTGCAATGCAAAGTCTAGCCTCAGTTTTTACACGTTGCAAAGGTGTGTTGTGTTGTGTTGTGTTTAGTTGTGCCTAGTGTCGACGTGGGACAGTTTCCAATTTCGTTGTACTATTGTACTAGGTATGACTGTGCAATGACAATAAGGGGTTATCTTATCTTATCTCATCTTAGTCGATCATACTGGAACATTTAGCAGGCCAGTCCTGGCTTGCACGCCTGCATTAATCTAAACCTACTGATTTCAGATGGATTAATTTTGAAATGAGCTTAACTAGGTTTCATATAATCCAAGTTCACACTACGTAATCTATTAGACTGCTGGGTATCTGTGATTAATAGCTCCTAAATGACCTATAATGTATTTATAAATTATTATCAAACACTAAAGCACTATAAATGATGCCTCGTGAGAAAGTACCACTTTTACTGAGGCAAAGGTGATCAAAGAAAAACAAACCCGTTCAACTAAAATCCACCTCTCCTCTAAAATATGACTTCAAAGCTGCCCTCTTTGAAGGTTCCACATTTATTTGACTGCGGTTTCAACTATTTGAATCCTTCTTTGACAAGCAAATATTATGCACAGACGAGAAGGAACACGGCGCTTGTTTGAAGCCAGGCACTTCTAAAAAAAGAAAGAAGCCAAATGTTGCCTGTAAGCAGGTCTGAATTGATTTTTGTGTCATTTTAATCAACGCCGACACCCCCGGCAGAGTCTCACACTTAGTACGGACCTGTACGGTTCGCTCGTGCGCTGATGCTTCAGCGTTAACGGTTTATTTTAGCTTCTGTCTTTTCCCCCACTCCCTTTACGTTTCTCCGCCACAGACTTTTTTGTTTTTATTCGGGAGTATGAGCTAGCCTTCCCGTCAGCTGAGTTTGGATATTAGTGTCCGTTTCCCCCCCTCCCGCTTGCCGCTTCTTCGCTCTCTTCACTGTATCTGATGCCTCTTGTTTCCTCCAGTAACCCATGTCTATGTGCATCCCGCCTCCCTGCGCTCTCAATATATGGTGCAAGTCAAAATGTCCAAATCGCCCGTAGACCCTCTGTCTGCCGTGGAAACCGGCTCCCAGTCGCACTATTTCCAGGTAAATCCGCTCACTTTACTCCCATTTCTCTCGCATCTAACTCTGTCTTCACCGAGAAAAGAGGAAAATGGTTAATTAGTGTGTCAGATGCTACTTGTTGTTCAATCTGAGGCGTCGCGTTTTGGCAGCGAGCTACTTTTTTCCATTTTCCCTTTTTTTCACCTCCGCCTTTTCAGAAACTGCAGATTGATGCTTGAGCCGGTGAACGGTCATGTATCCTCATATTATGGCTATTAAACACAGATACACAGTTTAACACCTCCTTGGGTGTCGATGCATTTGCTGTTTTGATCTCAACTCGCAGATCAGGCCTTTGCATTGATGCTTTATTATTTATTTCAGTGCATTTTTACCCTCCGTGCTACGCTTCATCCACTCCAGTGCAGGGAAACCAGCACACACCAGTAACATTATGGGACTTTCATGCAGGATATTGGTGCAAATGTGCAGGCCGTGACTCTGGACTCACCTGTAGCCTGAATCTGAAAGGCTTTCTCCCCAGTTTGATGGGGCTCTCTGCATTAATCAAACCACCATGTGAAGCCGAATAAAGGCAGCCCTGAAATATGTGTGATTCTGGCAGAGTTACTGCTTGCTTTGGTGCAAAGCAGCTATTTTGCACTTGATCACCATACATTTTGTCTTTTGCAGTCCTTAAAAGCCAGCAGTAGATTTATTTTTTGTATGAATAATACAAACCTGCAAAATAATTAGTAACTAAAGCACTGAAATAATTATAGTCAGCCTTGCTGACTATAATTATTTCTTGCAGACTTGCAGTATTACTGCTAGAGAGTTGTTGCATCCCGTTATCTATCGCCATCCATGCCCATTCCCCTTTTTATCTCTTCACCCGTGTGCATCTCTTTCTTCCTCACAGCTGCCCAGGAAGTTGCCTAAGCGGAAGAGCCGCTTCAAACGCTCAGATGGCAGCACATCCTCCGACACTACGTCCAGCTTCATCAAACGACAGGTAAAAGCTCCTTTTGTGCCTGGATTGTCTCACTGCAGGCCCATTATTGCACACTGATTGTTAGTGGGTGGAAAAAGGTGTAGGTTCTGTGGAAAATATAGGTCATGGTGTGCTCTAAATGTTGGAATAAAGCTATAAGGTGCTTGAAATTTGTCATCAGAGCCAATGTCTCTGAAGTGTCTGGTTGGCAGTAACGCAACTCTTGCATATTTTTTTTTTTTTAGGTATAGGCTGTTCTTGCTGTTGGTGGAGGTGGGGATGGGGGTGTTAAAATACCTGCATGATTCGCTACTTATTTTGTTCGTATCAGTGTGACAGTTTCTGCTCTGCATCTTCATCCACAGCGCTTTTCCCTCAGTTGCAGAGGTTGCTTTGCCCAGTAGGGGGTAGCAAAGTGCTTGACAAAAACAAACAAAAAAAAGGTTCAACCAAAATCCCAACACAGCACAGTATTTTTTTAATTAATGTTTTCAGGTCAGACAAGTGTGGAAGACTCCGATGGAGTTTTAGTGTTATTTAAGAAAAAAGGTATCTGTAATTGGAAACAAAAGGATTCTCCATGTGATGTTGCTGCATAGCTATTTTGAATGGATTGTAGAAATGGGCAAGGGGGGGGAAAGATTTTCTCAGATGATCATATTGACTTTAAGTTGAAAGGCTATATATTGAACAGCTGAACTGGAACATGAATTATTTTAAACTGTGTTAATCTGATAGATGGTGTTCCAGAAACCGAGAAATTAGTTAAAAAAAAAAAAAAAATTTAAAAAAAAAAAAGTGTCTTTGCGTGTCAATACGATGTACTGACATGAATATATATGTATACTGATGACATGAAATTTGTTTTACTTACTACTTTAATTAAATTTTAATATTTTACTTTAGAAAAATAAACTTGTTACAGTTTGTGAACAAATCATCCGAAATATGAAGTCATTGTGATGTATTGGGTTATTTAGTGTAATAGATCACTTGAGATCGTTGCCACTCAGCAAAACTATCAAATTTGGCAGATATGAGAAAACCAGATGTTTAGCTTGTATCTGCAATGTGCTGGAGTTAATCATAGAAAAGTGTTTTTGCAAAAGAAAAAAGAAAAAAAAAAAGTGGAGCACCCTCTTTTGAAATCAAATTAAAAAGCTTCTTACAGCAAAGTTGAATATCGTTAAGGTGCTCTGTTGTTCGGTTTTGTGGAACATTGAGGGTTGGAATCACATGGACCAGGTGCAGTTGTCATGTGCCGTTTTGGAATTTGGTTTTAAGCTGCATTAACAGAAACAAAAAACCCAATTCCAGAAATGTTGGGATGCTATCTGCAATATAAATGACACAGAATGCAATCATTTGCAAAACTCATAAAACCCACATTTACAGTGGGGCAAAAAAGTATTTAGTCAGCCACCGATTGTGCAAGTTCCCCCACCTAAAATGATGACAGAGGTCAGTAATTTGCACCAGAGGTACACTTCAACTGTGAGAGACAGAATGTGAAAAGAAAAAAAAATCCATGAATCCACATGGTAGGATTTGTAAAGAATCTATTCGTAAATTAGGGTGTAAAATAAGTATTTGGTCAATAACAAAAATACAACTCAATACTTTGTAACATAACCTTTGTTGGCAATAACAGAGGTCAAACGTTTACTATAGGTCTTTACCAGGTTTGCACACACAGTAGCTGGTATTTTGGCCCATTCCTCCATGCAGATCTTCTCGAGAGCAGTGATGTTTTGGGGCTGTCGCCGAGCAACACGGACTTTCAACTCCCGCCACAGATTTTCTATGGGGATGAGGTCTGGAGACTGGCTAGGCCACTCCAGGACTTTCAAATGCTTCTTACGGAGCCACTCCTTTGTTGCCCGGGCGGTGTGCTTTGGATCATTGTCATGTTGGAAGACCCAGCCTCGTTTCATCTTCAAAGTTCTCACTGATGGAAGGAGGTTTTGGCTCAAAATCTCACGATACATGGCCCCATTCATTCTGTCCTTAACACGGATCAGTCGTCCTGTCCCCTTGGCAGAAAAACAGCCCCATAGCATGATGTTTCCACCCCCACAGTAGGTATGGTGTTCTTGGGATGCAACTCAGTATTCTTCTTCCTCCAAACACGACGAGTTGAATTTATACCAAAAAGTTCTACTTTGGTTTCATCTGACCACATGACATTCTCCCAATCCTCTGCCGTATCATCCATGTGCTCTCTGGCAAACTTCAGACGGGCCTGGACATGCACTGGCTTCAGCAGCGGAACACGTCTGGCACTGCAGGATTTGATTCCCTGCCGTTGTAGTGTGTTACTGATGGTGACCTTTGTTACTTTGGTCCCAGCTCTCTGCAGGTCATTCACCAGGTCCCCCCGTGTGGTTCTGGGATCTTTGCTCACCGTTCTCATGATCATTTTGACCCCACGGGATGAGATCTTGCGTGGAGCCCCAGATCGAGGGAGATTATCAGTGGTCTTGTATGTCTTCCATTTTCTGATGATTGCTCCCACAGTTGATTTTTTCACACCAAGCTGCTTGCCTATTGTAGATTCACTCTTCCCAGTCTGGTGCAGGTCTACAATACTTTTCCTGGTGTCCTTCGAAAGCTCTTTGGTCTTGGCCATGGCGGCGTTTGGAGTCTGACTGTTTGAGGCTGTGGACAGGTGTCTTTTATACAGATGATGAGTTCAAACAGGTGCCATTCATACAGGTAACGAGTGGGGGACAGAAAAGCTTCTTACAGAAGACGTTACAGGTCTGTGAGAGCCAGAGATTTTCCTTGTTTGAGGTGACCAAATACTTATTTTCCACCCTAATTTACAAATAAATTCTTTACAAATCCTACCATGTGAATTCATGGATTTTTTTTTTCACATTCTGTCTCTCACAGTTGAAGTGTACCTCTGGTGCAAATTACTGACCTCTGTCATCATTTTAAGTGGGGGAACTTGCACAATCGGTGGCTGACTAAATACTTTTTTGCCCCACTGTATTTACAATAAACGAAGTGTAACGAAACAAATCAAATGTGTAAAACTGAGAAAATGTAGCATTTTGAGAAAACAAAAAAACACTAGCTCGCTTTGAAATTGGTGACAGCGAGACCTGTCAAAGTTGGGACAGGGCCATGTTTACCACAGCATCCCCTCTTCTTTTAACTGTCTGTAAAGATGTTGGAACGGAGAAGTCCAGTTGTTGGACCTTTGGGAGGGAAGTGTTGACCCATTTTTGTCTGATAGAGGATCCTAGCTGCTCAACCATACTGGTTTATCTTTATTCTTTGGTTCATGATGTGCTAAATGCTTTAAGCATCGTCTTGCTGAGTCTTTAAAAAAAACCAAAAAAACCAAAAAAAAAAAAAAAAACCAAAGCAAACACAAACAATAAATTAAATTCAAATTTTGATTTATTACAGCCAAACAGTTTTCCACTGTGTTTCAGTCCTTTTTAAGCTTTTTAAGCCATTTTTGCATCTCTGTATGATCACACTTTAACTTGTATTTGTAGATAGTATAGAGAACTGTGTTCAAACAGCGATTTCTAGAAGTGTTCAGGACTGAATATCACAGGGTCTCAGTATTGATTTTCAGCGATGTCCCTTGCACACAGAGATTTCTCCAAAAATCTGTTACTTTTGATATTATAGATTATGATATACTCAAAGTCTTGGAAATTTTACATTGAAGAACATGTTTCACTTTTTCTTTTTGCATATTGGTGAAACTCTGCCTCTCTAACATACTTTTTATACCCAGTCATATTACTGATGTATTTGTGGTTAAACCTGATTAGTTGCAAAATGTTTCTCCAGCCATTTCTTTTAGTACCATTTACTTTTTTAACATTTTGCTGCCTCCACCCCAATGTTTTTAAGACATGTTGCTGCAATTAAATTCAAAAGGAGCTAATAATTTTTCTTAAAATATTTCCGTTTTCTATCTTCAATCGTGAATAAGGATTTATGAGAGTTGCAAATCATTGTATTCTGTTTTTGTATACATTTACATGGCATTCCACCATTTTTGGAATTGGGGCTTTATTGGGACTTTAGGTAACCACTTCCCATTTTTGAAATACGAGGATTTACAGTTTATCATCTGCTACTTCTCCCAACTTTCCTTATCTGGGACAGGAGTGGAGCAAGTATTCTGAGTTATTATTTTAGGAGAATTAGAAATACTCTGTTAACAGTAAAAGCCATGTGCTCATAATCTTATTTACTGTGAACATAAATATATCAGTAGCAGCACACTTAAAATACCAAAGGCAAGTTCTTGCGCTTCACAATAATTCACCTTAGTGCACTTTGCTTAATACACCCATAGATATATTTATTATCAGTGATGGTTGTTTGTAGATTATATTTCAATTTAACTGCCATTCCCGACGTCCCCTCCCTAAAGAATAAAAATAAAACATCACAACCAACAACCAACGCACCCTTATCAGAAATATTGCAAAGACAGAAAAAATCCTGAATAAAAATTTGAGTGTGAATTTTGAAAGATGGTCTCAATAGAGCCAAACAGCAGCTAAAACAGGAAACGTATGAGCCAGCCATGCCTTTGCACTCATGCAGCAGAGATAGAGGTACACAGCAGTTTCACTAGTGTTGCAGCTTATCTAAAACTTGTTAGTAAAGATGTAAGAAAGTGTACTTATTTTGCCAGCTTACCACATCCATTGTCGTGGTCCAACTCATAAGTTGTGACAAATAGGAGGACAGTTTCAAAAGTGCACAACTGTATTAATTAAAACAGATCGGCACCATACTTGGCAATATGAGGTGTGTTAGTCAGTATTATCAGTGTGTCAGCAGTGGGATGAGTGTTTGAATGATGAGTGGAAGGTGTTGTTTAGTATAAACTCCAAGCTAACAGGGCTAAAGCAGACCAAATAAGAAGCAAATGTTGTAAATGTTTCAGGGAGACTAGCCAGGTGCTCCCACTTACACTGATTAACTCCACCTACAAGGGACCTTTACAAGGGAAACGTAGCAGGCCTGGAAAAAGTCAGGTAAACTGAGGTAAATTAAACAAATAGATAAAAAGGCTCTTTAAACATTATTGTTTATTAAGTTTTTAACAGTTTATTTTATTAGATTTGAATGGCAACTTTTTACTTTAGGTTTTTCTGTCCTGATGAAGATTAAAGTTACTTGTCTCTTTATGATTTTGTCAATTACAATTTTCTTTTGAAAACTATAATTGACAGCCTTTACAAAAAAAAAAATCAGTTCAAAATGTAATTTTAATAACAAAATATATTATTAAACTTTACAAATTTCCGCCTACCCCCAGTACACTAAGTTAACTAATTGAAAATAAAGACCTTTGCTTCTTGGAAAGAGGCATAAATAATTAACTGAAGATAAGACGATATACATTCACCTTTATCTGACATATTTTACTTTACCAAACAAAAGAAGGTGCAACATATTTCTTTAACAAAGCAATTGTCAGGCGCTTACATTGTTTTCATTACATCACTTTGCTTGTCTCTATAATTTTCCTCATTACTTCTTTGATCCTGTAACTGCTCATACCGAGGCTGCTGCACTTTTAGAACAGATGTATTAAAAACATTTTTCACACATTGTGTTACATTTTCACACAGTTGCTGCATTTTTGTTGTTGTTTGTTTGTTTTTGCGCCTGGATCTGAGCTCTGGGTAGCTTAAGCTTCAGCTACTTTCCCCTTTGTTAGCTTCTTTAAATGTCCATGCTCGGCTGGGTGAAGGTGATTTCAGTGTAGAAATGTTTTTGTGGCGGTTCCGCCACAGTTTACTGTGACTGTGAGTGTGCAAGTGATTATTTGCTCACACCACTGTGCATAGACAAAAATGTTTGTGTCATATGTGAGACTCAGAACATTGAAAATCAGACGATTCTGATTCCTGGCTGATCAATTTTTACTCTGACTCCGTGCACTTTGAGAAAACATTTAACAAAAATAACCTTGAAAAGTCAGTTGGTCAGATAATCTCTCAAAGTAAAGCTGAAGCTATTACACTAATAATAAGCAGTAGCATCCTTAACCAATTGAGTTAGTTTTAATCAAAGGTGCCAAATTTTAGCATTTTAAACCCTTTGTGTTGTATTACGTTATAGCAACTTCCATCACTTTAGGGTTTTCTGCACTGTTTTGTGAGTGTTTTATAGACCAGATGACACCAGACACCCTTATATCCACAGTCTTGTTCTTTTGGTCACTACCCACAGCCCACAGATATAGATGACTGTACAAACTTTTGTTACCAGTGAATCGACAGCTTCGCCTTCACCCACAGCTCGTTTACTATCTTTTATGATACAAATAAGCAGCATCTTCTTAATTTGAGAGACTAGAAGCAGCAAAAATTTGGTAAAGTAGTTGAAGCAGTTCATTATCCACTTCTTCATTAATCTCCACATTACATGTACTTAGAGGGTTTTAAGGGGTAAAGGCATCATGTTCCTTTCTTATAGGTGTGAATAATCTGCAAGCATAAGGGTCTGTAAAATAAATAAATAAAATACCTCGATTTCATTTACAGAACAGGAATGAGGAACAGTGTAACTGAGAGGCGTGAGAAAAAGAAGAAGAAGAAGGGGGGGGAAAGGGCTGAGCAGACATCTTCTTCAGAAGGGGACATTAGTTATCCAGATCGCGAGGCTTAATGACAATCTCCAGATTTCCAGAGAATATTGCACGGTTTAAAATATTCATGACTCTCATTTTGAAGGCCTCGGGCGATGTGATGTGTGGGTTCAGTGTTCACACGAGCACCTTTTTGGTTTCTTTTCAATCATTACCTTCTCCCTGCACGCACAACAGGCACCCCGCCTCCTCCTGCTCCCATTGCTGATATGACAAAGTGTTTTATGCAGAAGGAGTAAAATTCACAAACAGAGCAGATAGTTTCTTGTCTGTGATAGGGGTGCGGTGTCTATGTAGGAGCAGTGGAGTATGACTCATTTCTGCAGCAGGATACAATAAGCAGTATGGATGTATGTGTTATACGTAGGACGCGAGGCTTTGAGACCGGAGGAGAAATCTTCAGGGAGTGCATGATAATAACAGCAGTTTCTTCAGTTTCTCCTCCGATGAATTGGACTGTAATGGAAATGAGTAAGAATGTGATGTAAATTTAAAGAGGCGGTTTGATCAGGTGACGCAAAAGCTGCACTCGTTGTTGTGTTGTGATGTGATGAGGTAAGAATAGAAAAAGAAGGTGTTGCCGGTGTCTGCTCCAGTGCAGGTTGTAGTGAGGTAAGGTGATGGGACATAGTGCGGTCTGTCTGCACGCAGCATGTAGTTTATAGAGAGGGAGGGACTGGCAGCATCACCATCACCACATCAACTGAGTAAGTACAAAGACTTATAATACAGTTAGATTCTTCTTCTTCTATTGATTTCCTAACATCTCTAAAGGATCATGTTGTAGCCGCTTCACTTGTCTCTCTTTTGCTTTGTCTTCCTCTTTCATGCTCGTTGTTTCGCTCATTCGTTCACCTGTTTGACTTTATGATTGCCTCAGCTGCTCTTCACACCTCTTCTGAGTTTTGCAGTTTGACATGCAGTATGCCTGATCTTGCCTTCCATATTGATGTAACCACAGACTGATTTATTGCAGTGTGTTTCAGAGAGCTCTGTAGCTCGTGGAACTCGCTGACGTTGAATTACGACCGCACAGCTAATCGAACACTTTTTGAAATTAGATATTTGGTTGCTGGATATCCTGATTGCTGGAGTTTTTGCTCAGAATATTTGCAAAGAGGGAAAGGGTTTTCAGCATGCTGAATAATGTATTTTGCTGCTGCTCTGGATAATCTGCTACCTATGGTTTAATAAAACCATAGAAATTTGCATTAGCATGCTGTCCCTGCATTTTATTTCTCTCATAAAAGAAGGAGTCTCTGTATGTATTTGATCTATACACTTTGAAAATCATTTGGATTTTTGGATTTTCTGTTAAACTCAATGTAGACACGAAACTTAGAATCATGACCTTTTCATAGAAAGTACTCCGGG